CAATGCTACCGTCCGCATGCGTCCCCCACGCCCAGTACAGCGTTCGGTGGCCCCGCAGGGAGCCCCACCGAAGGTCCCAGTGCTACCGTTCGCATGCGTCCCCCACACCCAGTACAGCGTTTCGTGGCCCCATAGGGGGCCCCACCGAAGGTCCCAGTGCTACCGTCCGCATGCGTCCCCCTCACCCAGTACAGCGCTTCGTGGCCCCATAGGGAGCCCCACCGAAGGTCCCAATGCTACCGTCCGCATGCGTCCCCCGCGCCCAGTACAGCGTTCCGTGGCCCCGCAGGGAGCCCCGCCGAAGGTCCCAGTGCTTGTTCGCATGCGTCCCCCACACCCAGTGCAGCGCTTCGTGGCTCCATATGGAGCCCCACCGAAGGTCCCAGTGCTACCGTCTGCATGCGTCCCCCTCCCCCCCTGTACAGCGTTTCGTGGCCCCATAGAGAGCCCCACCGAGGCCCCTGGGACCGTCCGCATGCGTCCCAGAAATCAAATTTGGCATTTTCACACCACCCACTAGGGCGTTTCGTGGCCCCATAGAGAGCCCCACCGAAGCCCCCAGTGGGACTGTCCGCATGCGTCCCTGAAACAGAATTTTGGTATTTTCACACCACCCACTAGGGCGTTTCGTGACCCCGTAGAGAGCTCCACCGAAGCCCCCAGTGGGACCGTCCGCATGCGTCTCGGAAGTCCAATTTGGCATTTTCACCCACCCAGTACAACGCTTCGTGGCCCCATAGGGAGCACCGCCGAAGCCCCCAGTGGGACCGTCCGCATGCGTCCCGGAAACCAAGTTTGGCACACCCCTCATACGTTTCGTGGCCCCATAGGGAGCTCCACCGAAGCCACCACTGGGACCGCCCGCATGCGTCCCACACACCAGGTTTTGCATTTTCTCCTCACCCAGTACGGCGTTTCATGGCCCCATCGGGAGTTCGCCCGACGACCCCAGTTCTACCGCCCGCATGCGTTCCCCCCCACCCAGTGCAGCGCTTCGTGGCCCCATAGGGAGCTCCACGGAAGCCCCCAGTGGGACCGCCCGCATGCGTCCCACACGCGAAATTTGGCATTTTCACCCCACCCAGTATGGCGTTTCGTGGGCCCATAGGGAATTCGCCCGACGGCCCCAGTTCTACCGCCCGCATGCGTTCCCCCCACCCAGTGCAGCGCTTCGTGGCCCCATAGGGAGCTCCACCGAAGAAAATATCCACAATTGCGGCACCCACAACTGCATACGGTTGGGTCTGTCGCCAGGATACTTTTGACTATCCCTCCTGTAGAGGGACAGGCCCGACTTAACTTTATAGCATTGACCACCAGGAAGAATTTCGGGCACCAGGACAGCACCCCAAATCTCGAGGGTTTTCACGTGTCGGGCCCTAAGAGACACTCGGCCGACACTGTCTCGACACTCTCTCGACACTCGTTCGACACTTCTCCAGGTGCTCGAAACCATTTCTGGGATGCGGTCCTGAAGCACGATGGGAGCAACACAAGCCGAACTCTCCTGGGACCCCGCACGGGGGACAGCACGGCGTCAGAGGTCCGGGGAGGAGGAGGCGACAGGGGAACGACAAACGGCATACACACGCAAAAACTCGGAGGTCCGCGCGGACTTCTTGGACCCGCGCTGGACCCCCCTCCCTGGCGAGCGGAGCGCGCCAGAGGCGGCGCCGGAGGCGCCTTCAGGGGTCTCCAGCGCGGATCCGAGCAATTCGCGCGGACCTCCGAGCTTTATGTTTCTGTCATTGCTCGTTCCACTGTACGATGGGGAACGACGGGAGGGGAGCGGCTCAAGCGGGGAAGCACTGCCTCGTCATCGGCGTGCACTCTCGCCATCGCTCGGACGTCCATTCCCCTGTGTGTTTTTTGTTGGTTTCGTGCGTGTGTTTTGTTTTTTTCGCTCGATGGTCGAGGATGCTCCTCGATGGTCCTCACCGAGAAAAAACAAAAACGCACACGTCCGAGCGATGCCAAGTGCGGCGTGCATCGCCAGCAGCTCGGCGACTGGCTCTCCCTCAGTGGCGACCCCCCGCGCCTCCTGGGCAAGCGGGGGCCTCCGGGCCCCACCCGGCGAGGCATGGCGGGCGGGAGGCGACGTTCGCCCCCCTGTGCCACTCCCTCCCTGCCGTCAACTCCTTCGCTGCGGTGGCAGCGCCGGGACCGCGGCGGCCATGCTGGGAGGCGCGTGTCCAGGCTGGCAGGACCGGCTGCCAGCGCGGGGGCAGGCGCTGTTGCTCCTCGGCAACCTGTGCTGCGTTGGGGGCAACGCAGCTGAATTCGCTGCCTTAGCTGCGCGCCGCATCGCGCAGCTGCCCAAGGTGCCCGATTAGGTCGGCACCGTACTGGGGCGCCGCGCCCTCTGTCCGCGAGACAAAAAAGCCACTCCCACCCTGTCGTTTTCGTTTTCGTTTCGTTTTTCGTTTTTCGTTTTCGTTTCTCGTTTTTCGTTTTCGTTTTTCGTTTTCGTTTTTCGTTGTTGTTTTGCAATGCCTAAACAGCGTTTTCCGTTTTCGTTTTGTTCCCCACATCCTAAGTGGGGTTCTTGTTTTCTCTGCACACCCTCCGCGCAGGATCTCCTCCTCCTCCTCCTCCCTCTCCTCTGCTCTTCTTTGCTTCCTCCTCCGCATCATCATAACCATCACCATCACTCCCCACTCATCATCATCATCACCATCAGCATCACCATCACCATCGCACGATCACTCACCATCATCGGCATCGAACGATCATCATCATCAGCATCATCATCATCATCATCATCAACAACAACATCATCATCATCATCATCATCATCATCATCATCACTACTCGCTGACTTGAGGCCAGAATATGGAGGAAGTATCAGGCGGGAGCCTCGTCTGTGAGTGAATTGTGAGGAAGTCTCAGGCGGGAGCCCCCTCCCTATGGGGCCCGCACTTCATGTTCGAATCCGAGCGGGTCATCCGCAACGTGCAACTGTCGTCACTTTTGGGCTCTTGAGACCTGAATATGGAGGAAGTCTCGAGCGGGAGCCTCGTCTGTGAGTGAATTGCGAGGAAGTCTCAGGCGGGAGCCCCCTCCCTATGGGGCCCGCACTTCATGTTCGAATCCGAGCGGGTCATCCGCAACGTGCAACTGTCGTCACTTTTGGGCTCTTGAGACCTGAATATGGAGGAAGTCTCGAGCGGGAGCCTCGTCTGTGAGTGAATTGTGAGGAAGTCTCAGGCGGGAGCCCCCTCCCTATGGGGCCCGCACTTCATGTTCGAATCCGAGCGGGTCATCCGCAACGTGCAACTGTCGTCACTTTTGGGCTCTTGAGACCTGAATATGGAGGAAGTCTCGAGCGGGAGCCTCGTCTGTGAGTGAATTGTGAGGAAGTCTCAGGCGGGAGCCCCCTCCCTATGGGGCCCGCACTTCATGTTCGAATCCGAGCGGGTCATCCGAAACGTGCAACTGTCGTCACTTTTGGGCTCTTGACACCTGCATATGGAGGAAGTCTCGAGCGGGAGCCTCGTCTGTGAGTGAAGTGTGAGGAAGTCTCAGGCGGGAGCCCCCTCCCTATGGGGCCCGCACTTCACGTTCGAATCCGAGCGGGTCATCCGAAACGTGCAAATGTCGTCACTTTTGGGCTCTTGACACCTGCATATGGAGGAAGTCTCGAGCGGGAGCCTCGTCTGTGAGTGAATTGTGAGGAAGTCTCAGGCGGGAGCCCCCTCCCTATGGGGCCCGCACTTCATGTTCGAATCCGAGCGGGTCATCCGAAACGTGCAACTGTCGTCACTTTTGGGCTCTTGAGACCTGAATATGGAGGAAGTCTCGAGCGGGAGCCTCGTCTGTGAGTGAATTGCGAGGAAGTCTCAGGCGGGAGCCCCCTCCCTATGGGGCCCGCTTCCCGAGGCGCTGGCCGAGGCGGCGACGGCGCTGAGGAAAATGGATTTGCTTGCCCCGACGAGGGGGAAGGGGAGGTGCACATGGAGAAAAGGCAGGGGGATGAGGAGGGAAGGGGCATGGGGGAGGCCGACGACGAGGAGGAGGTGGCGCGAGAGGAGGAGGAGGAGGAGGAGGAGGAGGAGGAGGAGGAGGAGGAGGAGGAGGAGGAGGAGGAGGAGAAAGAGGAGGAGGAAGAGAAATAGAAGGGGAAGAGAGGGCAGTGCAGGGGGCGAGAGGAGAGGGTGTCCGCCAGGGGGAGGAGGAAAGGGCAAAGGGTAAGCTAAACAGATTCTCATGTGGGGTCCTACCGTCGGAGTAATGTTCGTTCTCCCTCGCTTCGCCTGGAGTTCGCCCTCGCCGCAAAACGGTATCGAAACGAGAACGGCCCACGAAGTCGCCAAAACACCGTTCAGGTCCGCCCCTGCCCCCTGTTGGCGCCCCTGCATCGGCGACTCCAAAGGGTGTGGTTTGCAGAGGGTGTGGTTTGCAACGGGCACCCTGGGGAACCTCCTGGGGGGGCACCCTGGGGGGCGCGCGGGGACCTCGACAGAGTTCTCCCGCACCCCGAGCAGGCCCGACGAGGACAGCGTCGCGCCCCCCAAGCCCCAGCGGTGCCGATCGCAAACCACACCTTGGCGTAACCATACCCTTTGTAGTCGCCGACCTGAAGAAGGGGGGGGGAAGGGAGGGGGGGAAAGACATCTTTCGGAGGCTCGTGGATGCATCTTCGGATCTGTTCGGGAGGACACTTTCGGATACTCGCGTCGGTTTTCGGAACGGCGCTCTGGCAATATCCTGCCATGTCCGAAGAGAAGGGGAAGGCCCAGGCACCCGCCGCTTCGATTGTTTGGATGAGTGGCCCCCCTGGATATCTCGACTCCTTCCCCAGGGAATCTTTTTTGACGGACCCTTTGAAACTGGCCTCCAGAGGCAAACAATGGCGATAACCAGCCGGTTCGATCTTTCCGAGGCGCTGGATGTCTGTGGTGGGGGAAAGGCGGGAGGGGGCAGGAGGAGGAGGAGGAGGAGGAGGAGGAGGAGAGGAAGAGGAGACAGGAGAGGAGGACCAGGAGAGGCAGGGAGGGCTCCTGTGACCCCACGTCCCCTGAGAGGCACTGGGCCTGCATCTCGCTGACCAGCTGCTCCAGCCTCAGCGCCTAAAGAGGAGGAGGGAAAGGCATGGCCAGGGGAGGGGCACAGAGAGTATGAGGAGAGGCGGGGAGAGGGAAGATGAGAGGGTGGAGGGAGGGCATCAGGAACAGCATGAGAGGAGAGATGACAGATGAGGAGGAGGAGGAGGAGGAGGAGGAGGAGGAGGAGGAGGAGGAAGAGGCGGGAGGAGGAGGAGGAGGAAATAGGAGGAGGAGGGGGAGGAGGAGGAGGAGGAGGAGGAGGAGGAAAGAGGAGGAAAGAGGACGAGGAGGCGGGAGGAGGGGCCTCCTCACACCCAGAGGCCCTCCCTCTCTCTCCTGAGCAGGTGGACGACGACGACGAGGGCGACGGCGACAACGACAACAACGACGACGAACACGAAGGAAGACGAGGACGAAGACGTCGACAAGACCGACGGCGTCGTCGTCAGCCTCCTCTTCCCCCCCATACGGGAGGGGAGGGGATCTCTAGGTTTCTGGAGGCCGTTTCGTCGTCCACCTCGTCCTCCTCCTCCTCCTCCTCCTCTTCCTCCTCCTGCCGCGTGGCCGAGGGTCTCCTCTTCCTCCTCCTCATCTTCCTCTTCATTTTCCTCCTCCTCCTCCTCCTCACTCTCATCCTCATTCTCAGCATCATCACCATCATCATCATCATCATCATCATCATCATCATCATCATCATCATCAGCATCATCATCATCATCATCATCATCATCATCATCATCATCATCATCATCATCATCATCATCATCATCATCATCATCATCATCATCATCATCATCATCATCATCATCATCATCATCATCATCATCATCATCATCATCATCATCATCATCATCATCATCATCATCATCATCATCATCATCATCATCATCATCATCATCATCATCATCATCATCATCAGCATCATCATCAGCATCATCAGCATCATCAGCATCATCATCTTCATCAGCACCAGCAGCACCATCATCACCACCACCACCACCATCATCATCACCATCATCATTATCACCATCACCAATACCATCATCATCATCATCAGCAGCATCATCATCACCATCATCGTCACCACCATCACCATCATCATCATCAGCAGCATCATCATCATCATCATCATCACAATCACCACCACCGTCATCATCATCGTCATCGTCGTCATCATCATAATCAGTATCGTCATCATCATCATCACCATCATCAGCATCACCAACATCGTCATCACCGTCACCATCAAGATCAGCATCGTCAGCATCATCATCATCATCATCATCATCACCATCACCATCACCATCATCATCATCATCATCATCATCATCATCATCATCATCATCATCATCATCATCATCATCATCATCATCATCATCATCATCATCATCATCATCGCCATCACCATCACCATCATCGTCACCATCATCAGCAGCATCATCACCACCACCACCACGAGCCCCGCTTCCCTCGTCGTCGTCGTCGTCGTCGGAGCTTCCATCGTCTTCGCCAGCAGTGGCGTCGTCGTCGGCACGGGGGGATGAGGAGAGGCGGGAAGAGGGAAGATGAGAGGGTGGAGGGAGGACATCAGGAACAGCATGAGAGGAGAGATGACAGAGGAGGAGGAGGAGGAGGAGGAGGAGGAGGAGAGGAGGAGGAGGAGGAGGAGGAGGAGGAGGAGGAGGGGAGGAGGGAGGAGGAGGAGGAGGAGGAGGAGGAGGAGGAGGAGGAGGAGGAGGAGGAGGAGGAGGAGGTGGAGAGGGGGAGGAGGAGGAGGAGGAGGAGGAGAGGAGGAGGAGGAGGAGGAACGAGGAGGAGGGGGGGGACGCCGTCGGCGTCGACGCCGTCGTCGTCAACGCCGTCGGCGTCGTCGCTGGCGTCGGCGGCGGCATCGGCGTCGCTGCTCGGCCTTGTCCGCCTCGGCGAGCCGCTGCTGCTGCGCGCGGGCGAGCTCCTCGCGGGAGCGGCGCAGCTGGCCCAGGGCCTGGGCGGGGGAGGGCTCCTCCTCCTCCTCCTCCTCCTCCTCCTCCTCCTCCTCCTCCTCCTCCTCCTCCTCCTCCTCCTCCTCCTCCTCCTCCTCCTCCTCTCTCGCTGAGCGAGAGATCCGCCACCGTGCCGCTGGGCACGGAGTGGGCGTGCTCTCGGGTCCTCTGCCTGATCCCCTTAGCCCCACGCCACACTCCTGAGGATTCCCTAAGGGACCCGGACCCCTCGCTCTCCAATCTCCCGGGGCTTGGCGCGGGCACCCTAGTTTTTATTTGTCAGCGTCAACGCAGCATATCCAGTGCGGGGGTGGGAGGGGGAGGGTGCTGGCCAATAGCCAAACCTTCTCGATGTGGGCAGCCCCGCGTATGCCCGCGCGCACGAGTACTGCGCAACCCCTCAGGACGTGCGCAACCGACAAGGTCAGCTCATCCGAGGGGGGGGGACGGCGGGGGTGGGAGGAGGCGGGTGG